GTGCTCCACGTGGGCTCCCCTCCGCAAGGACACAGCCCGGGACCTCTAGTGGACGCCTGAAACTGTACACAGTGCTAACCCTTTGCTGGTTTTCTCCTAAACTTAATTACCTAGGATGAAATTTAATTTCTAAACCAGGCACAAGACCAATAACAGAAACAGAATTATAACATTATCCTAAAATTAAAGTTGTATGAATGTGGTTGTTCCTGCTCTTGAAAGGATGAAGACAAACAGTACTTTCAGACCCAGGCTGACAGCAGGTGACTGAAAGGACGGGAAGCAAACTGCAGCCTAAGTAACCCCAGACAGTAGCTTGCCATCTACTCAGAAACTGGGTCACACCGATAAGGTTACTGCTTTTTTAATAAAAAAAGTTATCTCTGACGTAGGAGGAACGTTTCAATCAACTGTATGGACAAGGAATTCTGACTCGTGCTATTAAGGGCAAACCTGATTACAATGCTTCCACAGGCTTCTGTATACAGAATGAATACCTCAGCTTCTAATACTACTGCCAGGTTCTGTGCAGAAAATGGAATTTTTCTTCCAAAGCCATCAAAGGACTTGAAATCTCTAGAAAGTTTCTAGCTGAGCAAGGTGGCACATGCTTGTAATCCCATGTACTGGGATGCTAAGGAAGGAGAACTGCAAGTTCGAGTCCAACCTAGGCTATTTAGTGAAACTCTAAAAATAAAAATAAAAAAGGCTTGCAGTGTAGGTCAGCACAATGACCCTGTGTTCAGTCCCCAGTGTAGGGTGCATTCCACAGGAAGCCAAACCAGCTTTTTGTACCTTTCATTTACTAATGAAAAATTCAACTAAAAACCCCTTGTTATATTACACAATAGCTTTAAAACTGTTTTCAAGTGTATTGTTACTTCTTCTTGGTTTCTGTGGCGGAAGAGACTTTGACATTTGGCAGAATAAACTCTCAGCATTTAAATTTGCTCGATGGCTGGGCGTGGTGGCACTCGCCTATAATCCCAGCACCTGGGAGGCTGAGGCAGGAGATCACAGGAAGTTCAAGGCCAGCCTGGAATACAAAGTGAGTGCAAGGCCAGTTGGAACTGCAGTGAAACCCTGTCTCAAAAAAATAATAAATAAATAAATATGCACTCATGACTCATCGTGCCCAAGGTTGGAGGCAAATTCTACTTACCCTGAAGGTGGGGGAAGGTCTTTGCAAAGGAAGACTGACAGGCGCACAAGCAAAGGTGTGCTTCCTGTGCCCACGCGAGCGGGGTGCCTGGGGGGCGGCACCCCCAAGGGACAGCTCTGTAAGCCAAACTCACTAATACAACTAACCAACTCATAATACTAACCAAACTCATTAATACAAACAGCACTGGGCCAGGTGGGCAAGAAAAGCTTGTGATGTTTCCGAGCTTCTGCCCTCAGAAGATGTCCGTAGGCAAGCTTCCCTTCTGTTCTTCAGTGTTCCTTTGCTCTTCCTCTGAACAGTAAATGTGAACCAAAGAATGGGAACTACAGAAAGAAGATCATTTCACTGAGCCATTTTTTCGTTTGTTTTTCTTTTTTTGAGACAGGGTTTCACAATGCAGCCCAGGTTGGCCGCGAACTCATGGAGAGGATAAACAGTTTTTCTTTGAAGTTACTGTATTATTAAACTGCAACCAACCAAAATCACAGTGTGTACGTTAAAGGCCTAAAGTCTAGGATTCAGAATTATTAATCAGCCATAACCATCTGCGCAGCCTCTTCCAACAGGACAACCTTCCAAAGAGAACTTGCACACTCTGCTGAGACTGAGGTTACGGAATTGTCAAATTTTTCTGAACCCCCTCCTTTTCGAGAGAGGAACGGTGCTGCTGGTGCTGGTGAAGAAAGCTCTGAGTGTCTCACCTGTGTTCGCACCCATCATTTTTTGGGAGGTCTCCTATGTGAAAGTAGTTCATTAAGTTACAGACAAAGCAATCTATCTTCTGCTCCTGCAGTAACAGGGAAAAGGATCTGTGTGTTAAATTTCCATGTGTATTTCCAACTAGATTTCCTTTTCTTTTTTGCTGTGTGCATGTTTGTTCCTTTATTAACCACTAAGCACCAAAGTAAGGATGAATTAACAAATTTCATGTCATATGTACCTGTAAGTAATTCTCAGCAGTCTAGACCATGGAAAGTCTCAAAGAGCTCCCTCTGATTTCAGCTTTTGTAGAAATTAGTTTTACTTTGGTTTATAGATGTCAAATCTACTTCAAAAATGTGACTTTGGTTTGCATACACTAACTGATGGTAGGTGAAACTAAGAGAGTTTATTTGACTTGACTACTTGTTCTATTGTTCTTGTGCTAAAATGGATGTCTGATTGTTAATATGTTTTTTTTTTATTTTTAAAATAAAAAAAGGAAAAAAGAAAAAAAAGAAAGTTATACAAGAGATCTGACTTTACATATACCATTTTCCACATATATGGAAATAATCTAAGCTACCAAATGCTTCATACTTAAGGTACTACAATGAGTTCACATACAAAAGGTCTTTATAAATGAAGGTTCTCTATAGAGGAAAGGGATTATACTATCAACTCATTGATAAATTGCACTACTCCTAACTTAAAAGAGCTACTTGAGCCACAGTACAGAGTTTAACAAGCTTTAGTGTGCACGGCTCATGGATTAAAGACCTCCCAACATTTAGGTCCCTATTCAACATCTGGCAGAGTAAACTCTCAGCATTTAAATTTGCACTGATGGCTGGGCGAGGTGGCACACTCCTATAATCTCAGCATTTGGGAGGCTGAGGCAGGAGGATCGTTCCAGGTTCAAGACCAGCCTGGGCTACAAAGTGAGCTCAAGGTCAGCCTGAACTGCATAGTGAGACCCTGTCTCAAAAGGACAAAAAAAAAAAAAAAAAAAGTTACACTGTAGAAAGAGATCTCACAGTAAGGATGAACACTATTTTCTCCAGCGGTACTAGGTATGTGAGGCAAACACTCTCCCAGTGAACTACTTTAATATATCAAAACTAGGCCACTAGGACCTCAATAACTAGAGAGTATCAATGACAAAAACAGGAGAGGGAGAGGAATCTTCGTCAAGCCTCAGGATGGTTAGATCATCAGAAACTGTAACAGAAAAGTAAACTTCACAGGATCCTACATCCATTCAGGCACTCACCAAACATTCACTGGCAAGGGTGCAGGAGCACATATGCACGTGTGTGAAGGGGGTGGCGGCAGGGTGGTAGCAGACTGGTGAAGGTGGCAAAGGAAATAGGCAGTGAACAAATCCTACCACAGAGTAGTAAGAGATGAGGTAGTAAAAAACAGAGTAGAAGGGGTGGTCACACAGGGCCTTCTAGGCCTAAGAGCTCCGGACTGAATTAAGCAAATGCAGATGCACTGTAAGGTTTTAAACAGAGGGTGACATAATTTATTCATATTTTAATAGCATCACTCTGGCTGCTGTGGGGAAAATGGAGACACGCACCAGTGTGAGAAGCAGGGAAACCTTACAGGAAGCCTTGAAGTAACTGAGACCAGAGGTAACGGTGACTCCTAACAGCACTGGATCTATTTTGAAGGTAAGAGGATTTCTCGATGAAGAACTGAGGAAGACGCCCAAGTTAGAATGCAGAATAGGTATCAGCGGGGCTAGGAAAGCTGTGCGGAAAACTTTAGAGCTCAGTTTCGGGCATGCCGGGTCTGAGATGTCTCAAATGTCCAAGTGGAGATACTGAGAACAGCTGAGCTCTCGAGAGAGCTGCCGGGCAGAGACGGAAATCTGGGAACAGGGCCCACAGAGATGGCGCTTAACGTGGTGTGGCTGGCAGAAATGACAAGCAGAGTGAGGGCGGGGCGCCAAGGACTAAGGGAGCGCTCGGCTCCGACGTTCTCCTGATGCCTTCCTCTTGAAGAACCGACAGAGATGACCACGCTGAACACCCAAGAGACGGCAGGAACCCGGGAAGCGCGGCGTCTTGGGAAACAAGAACGCGTACCGAGGAGGGAGCAGGCGGTGATGCCGAGTGCCGAGGACACGAGTGACGGAGAGACTATCAAGCCACTCATTTAACCTCTACGGTCACTGGAGACCCTGACGGAAGCGGTTTTAATGAACAGCATAAGGGCAAGCAAGGGTGGAGGAGGCTAGACAAAGAAAGAAGGGGTGGAAGACAAGGGACAGACAGAAGTGCCGAGGGGTTTTGCTGCGAAGAGAAATGAAGACACGGAACGGTGGCAGCAGGGAAAGCACAGTTGAAAGGAGGACACGTTTTGTGTGCTGAGGAAAGTGATCCAGCAGAGAACCGAAAGTGCTACCGAGAGGGAGAACGTTGCAATGACGCCCCCAGGGAAGGGGAAAAGATCTGGTGGAGAACACAGCTTTAGGCAGAAGCAAAGACAGCCAAGCTATGGGGACCAGAACGAGGACAGGTGTGTGGTGACAGGCGGCGCATTTAGGGGAGGCAGTCAACAGAGGCTCTCTTACCGCTTTAATTTTCTTGATTAAGAAAATATTTCAGCCAACTCTAATGTGCAACACAAAAAGCAGAAAACTACAGGTCTGCAAGAACTCTTACCTGACACACACTAACCAACGGTGTTCTACAGATGCTCACCTACACAGAACCAGGTCACGTAGCAGCTTGGTATTTGCTAGCAGCTCAACATGCATAAGTTTAACAACTAAAAATATGTAACGCACAGCAAGTGCGATGAAAGTAATCAGATAGGTTTTTATGTTCTGCTAGAAGGCTCGTTTATATGATGATAAATCATGTACTTCACGCTGTACGTTACTGAACATTCACCATTAGAATTTTTCCTTTAACAAGGAAGATTATTCTGAAAATTTATGTGTAAAAGTGAAATGCATTTTTTTCTTTGGTTAAGAATGGGAAAATTTATTGAAAAAAAGGAATGGGGAACAGACAGCTCTTGAGAGACAGGAGAGGTCCTGAATGCGCTGCCACTGAAACGCATTCATCGAGGAGACCTTGACTTTGCTTATAGAGAAATGTGAGTGTTCAAAAGTACTTACCAACAGTGGTCACAGGAGGCTGGGAAGGGTACTGGGAGCTTGTTGTGGCAGGGTACGGACCACCAGGTGGGTACGGACACCCTGGGTAACCACTAAAGAACAAAAACCAGTAAACATTACGATGAGCTAACACTAAAGGGTTTTTGTTTGTTTTTGAGACAGGTTCTCGGTATACAGTCCAGGCTGGTCTCAAAGTCGCTATGTAGCCCAGGGTGACATCGAACTTGTGATTCTTCTGCCTCCACCTCCCAGGTGCTGGGATTATAGGTGTGTACCTGGTTCAACAATACTTTTAAGAACCCCACTTAGAGAATTAACTTGACATATTGTCTTCCCAGGTAATGAATTTACAGTTTTTGAGCAAAGGGTCATTCAAGTAACATTCTATGGAAATTCCATCAATGACACTGGACTTAAAGTACATGGTCCAATGCTCTGTGTAGTGCTGGCTATCTGAAGGTCACTTTCATAGAAGCAGAAAACAGCCAGAGTATTTCTAACTATAATCCTAGCACTCATAAGGCAGGAGGATCCCAAGTTCAAGCTTTGCTTGGGCAACTGAGTGACTTAGCGAGACCCTGTCTCAAAATAAAAAATAAAATATCATTGCAGTATAGTATTCCTAACAAATGATCATCTTTCTCTACTAAACACTAAATATCATTTTTATATACTTCTAAATAATGGTCCTAAACGCCTGACACATTAATATTTTTCTTTTTCTTTCTCAGTCTTTAAACATTCTTAATTCCTTCAACTTCCCTCACAGGACATGATTTTCAGATCCAATCCCTTTCCTCTGAATGTGCACTGTTTGTCAGTGTTTCCTTATGATGTAAAGTTAAGCAGGGTCATTACTATCTACCAGGTAGCTGGACACTGAATTCTGATTAACCCTATTTTAGCCAGGATACTCTATGGATCAGCTCTGTGACATTTGCAATTCTGATCAGCACGCCCGCTACATGTCTATTATAATTACTGGCTGAAAAGAGCCAGTTCAGAGCCTCGGAGCAAGAGCTCTTCCTAGTTCACAGTCAGTAACCCCTTTTCAGCAGTGGCTCAGAAATTCTATTTGTGCTTATACTTTCTAACTTGTCTGCAACAAAAATTTCGTATATGACTTGCTGCAGGTTCAGTGTGATCACAGTACTCCTTTTACTCCTATAAAGCAAAGTCAAAGTGAGAAAAGTTAACCATTTTTGTTGCGAGTGGATACATTCTGGCAACTACTGAATAGTACCTTTGTTTCTAGTCTCTCTAGTAATCTGCTATAAGGAAACAATGTCAGTCTTACTGAAGTAAACTGTTCTTTTTTTCTGGCTTTCCTCCCATTTTGCATACCTTCTCAAACACAATCTGTGATCGTATTACTGAATGTTTCAGTAACTTGGTACAGAACTCTTCTAGCCCTACAGATACTAAGTTCGGAGAACCCCCAAGCTCTTTCCTTAGTTTGCTGAATTTTCCCTTTATGAATATTCTCCATAGAGTTAAATACATTTTCTTGAGAAATATTATTTTCTACCTTTGTAGATTATTAAACAATTTACCCTAGGAAGCACATCTTTTTCAAGGCTTTAAGTCCTTTTCAAATGTTTTTAAAAATAAATTTTTCCAAAAAAGATAAATTTTTCCAACACTCAAATTCCTTTTCTTTATGTACCCATTAAAAATGTACTATTTATTATATTGAAGGAATCCTTTGGAAGTGCTTGATGCAGGAGCTAAGATACAAGACACCAATCTATCTCTGCCTGACGATTCTAATAATCAAGTAAGGCTAGATCCTTTTAAACAATTCTGACACAAGGAAAAAGAAACAAATGCCAAGTAAAAGCCCAGGAGGTAAGACAGTGAGAAATCAGCTAGGGCTGAGCAGAGGGCCTGGGAGATCTACAGGACCTGTGAAAACTGCACCTTCAGTCTCTGGATTGTCCTTCTCATAACACTATATTCTGCAGCATGAGAATTTCCTGTTTTTTTTGTAGTTATAAATTGTTAGGGCTTTCTTCCCTTCTACTTGTAAATATCTAATTTTCCTTGTGATCTCCCACCTCCAAGCCAGATGTACCTCTGTGCATCTACAAGATGACCTCTCTTGTAGAGCACTACTTATTTAACACAGCCATTACCATTTTTCTTTTTTTCTTTTCTTTTTTTTTTTTTGGTTTTTCTCCGGTACCAGGAACCGAACTCACGACCTTGCGCTTGCCAGGCAGGCGCTTTTGCCGCTGAGCTAAATCCTCAGCCCCTCTCAGTTCTTTTCTGTATGCGCTCATTTTGA